ACAAACTTCGAGTAAACTTCGGGTTGCAGCCAAATCACAACCCGAAGTTTCGAAGAAACTTCGGGTAAAGTTCGGGTTGCAGGGGCGGCGCAAAATAAGATATATATCTTATTTTGCGCTGGTTTGTAGGCAAAATTTTGCCTATATATCTTATTATTTTGTCTACGGAATATCTTATTTTTTTCTGCCTATATCTTATTTTCGTAGACAAAAAATAGCCGAACAAAAATAAGATATATATCTTATATACTATTTTCGTAGGCAAATCATTTTGCCTAGAAACAAAAAATAGTCTAAGATAGTCTTAGGGGTTAATGACACACATATGGATGACCCTACCCACTTTCGCAGGGTTCTCTGGGAGATTGCCGTGCGGTATTGGGAGCGGCGCGCTCCGCACGTCCGCCTGTCATTATGGGAGTGAGACGTCATGCAGGAGTGCCTGACACCCGACCGGCTGTTCGGTCGCTGTTAGGCCCGTTGCTTATGACCTGCCCTGGCCATTCGGCTACGGGCGTATGAGCTTGTGCTAGCCTTGCGACCTTCCATTGTATGTCCACCATCGCTGCCGTGTTGATCGGAGTTGCGATGTTAGTGACAAGCCATGGCCACACTGCCGGAGCATTTTGTGGCACCGATTGTCCACTGTGCTTCCGTACAGTCGATACCGGTGCTCTTTGGAGCCCCGCCGTCAGATGCCACCCGGCAGGTACTTCGCGCCATTGGTTCACAGGAGCGCAGGGCTGCTGGTCTCGTGCTCCGTCATCTCTACGCGGAATATCGTCGCCGTGTCTCTGCTTACTTGGCGCAGCTCAGCCTTTATAGTTTTCAGGTAGCGACCGATTCCCAAGTGGCTGTGCGACTTGGCATTCAAGTGCGCACTACCATTGTGCAGATTGACCTTGAGACTGTGGTGACGATCGCTTCAGTGTCCCGCCTCGCATATTGGACGGTCAATCGTCTTTACGCGGGGGCGAACTTCTTACGCGCTGCTGACATACAGTCTGCGCTTATTGACTCGCAGCCCTGGGCCTTTGCGTGTCCTGCGCTGTGGGGAATGCCGTACTTCTCCATGGAACCGATGTGCGAGCTTCCGCTTGTGCGGCTGCGACCGCCGCTACATGTTTGCAGCACGTACAATCTGGGTGATTCAGGATCTGCTTAGCCGCTTAGCCCTTGCCCTTGCGAAACCCGCCCAGGTGGGAAGCTGGGCAGGGTTGGTTTGCGGCTCTGGAATTCCCTTCTCTATGGAGATCCTACTCTGGGCACCCCTGTCTCCCTGTCTTGGCCCTTGCGATACCCACTCCTGGGAAGCCGGGCACCTGCACATGCCATACAAGTGTGGCTGGATAACCGATACGGCCTGACTCTGCAGCACGTGCAGTGCGTGGGCTATCAAGTGGAAAGCTGGGCGTGGGCAATTTTGCAATGATCTGAGCCCCGTCATTTCCTGGGGAGTAAGTCTTGTGTGCCCCTGCCTTTCATTGACCCTTGCGATGCCCACACATGGGAAGCTGGGCCTGGTTTGCCAGCTGGGCCAAGACCTGGCTGGTTAGCCAACATGGCAGCTACCAGGCGGCATTGAATTGCGCTCGTACTGTGCTGCCCTTGCGAGACCCACTATGTTGGGAAGCTGGGCCTGGACCGAAGTGCTGGTGCTTGCTGGTTGGTGACATTGGCGCGCGCACCTTGGGCCAATTCAACCCAATGCCTTACATTCCTGGCTTGTTCTCCTGGGATACTCCATGGCAGGCCACAAAGGCCTTTCTACCTTCGCGCAGGAGCTTGTGCACAGCTGATGGCTCCGCACGACGGGCACACGGCAGCAGCATGCTTTGCTGTTAATTGCTACATGCCCTTGCGATACCCACGATACTGGGAAGCTGGGCCATTTTATCTACGCACTGACAATGGAACATGCTGCTTTGTGGATGCTCGCATAAATCCGCTCCACCCTGGCTAACAAGACACCTGAGAGAAGCTACGCCCTGAAAGGCCGAACGATCCCTGCGGGCTAAGTCTGCACGTCGCGGCCCGTTTCACCTGACATGATTCTTTTGTACAGCTCTTTCTTGTAGTTCTTGTAGTTCTTACTGGGACCGAGTGCAGCAACTGCTGTCTTTGAGGCCCGCCCACGCCAAAAAAAGCCAGCCGGAGCCAGTTGAGGCGTCCACTTTGCAGTGCTTTGTTGCGGTTCTGGGCGAGTCAGAAGGCACTATAGGGTCCAGAGTGCCTGCAGGCTGGTCTCGGGCGTTTGGTGCGGGGACCAACGCTTGACCGCAAGCATCCCAAACAGGATCTCGGCTGTGTTCGGCAGTGTCCTGGTCACCAAACTTTTGGCTGCAAATGTAGTCATCGGACTTGAGATTTTCCCTCTGTTTGTTCATCGTTTTTTTTTTTTTTCTGTTTGCGGGTGCGTCGACTTTCCATCTCTGTTGGCACTGCGGTTGGTTGCGGTTGTCGGTGCAGTCCAGCTTCGGGCGGTGTAAGTGCCTGCTGAAGCTGCCCAGCGGCGAGCTCGCAGCAAGAGCCACCCTGCCTGCAAGCACCGCAACTTTTGCAAAAGAACGCCGCCTGTGCCCTGGGACTTGCGCGTTCGAGAAACCTTTCAAAACGTAAAGCTGGTGTCCGCAGCAGGGAAGTAGTCACCGTCCCGTGTGCAAAGTTCCGTGGGCAATAGCTTCCCGTGCCCTCCTTCTTGAACGGGTCCAGATCGCTTGCAGTGGACGGAGCTCAGATGGCTGCCGATGCCACTCGCGTAAATGTTGGGACTCCATGTGCAACCGTGCGTGTAACTGTGGTGCACAGCCCCGCTCATCCAAACATGGCCAGGGGACAAAGCTACGTTGGGCATTTCAATCGGCCATCCGCAGGTTGGGCGGAGCAACGACTGCAGACCGAGTGGCAGCTGTTGCACCAGCTTCTTCAGCCATTGGACTTGCAACAGCGTTGCCCCTCCGAAAAAAGCGTGCCAACGACGCTTGCCTATACCTGTAAGCCCAGACGCATCCAAACGCGCGATGCTTCGATTTGGGAAACGTTGGACGCGGCATGCCTTCAGACTTTCGACCTGCCTTGGGGAGGGGCTGTGTTTGGTGTGCTTGGATTCTGCAATGCTGGGTTACCCAGGCCAATGTTTTTCTTTCCATCCCTCTATGCCTCCTTTGCATTTTTGTTCCGCTGACAGCAGTCACACGGCGCGTGCTCCCAACACTCCGCGAGTGTGTTGCTGCTTGCTGTGTTTTTTTACTCTCGCGGATTTTGGTGTTGTTTGTTTTTGCCCCGTTTGTGCCGGTGTTCGTACCCGCACGAGTTGTTACGAGATATCACAAGCTGTCACGGAAAACAACTTACGCTCTAGCGGTTTGGCCGTATCGGCAACCTTGTGCCAGCTCGCAGTGCCGGCGAAGTTCCCGCGGAAAAGAAAAGCGCGTGCTCGTAAATTCGTTAATTTAAACCCACACCCCGAATCGGATCCAATTTCTAGATACGCTTTCGGTGTGTCCCATGTGGAAACGCTGCCTTGTTTCTAGATCCGCTACCATTTTGTGCACAAAAGGCAAAAGCCACAACTTGAGCAAAAACAAGCATTGCTGATAAAAGTGACCGCATGACCGGTTTTGTGCGGAACGAAGCGGCAAAAGCGAACGACCATTGTCATTGTTGCATATTTTGCTTGTTTAACACAACAATAATCGCACATAAGCTCTGATGCTCATGATGTTTGAGCCAAAATGTCCTTCCTCTTCTCTTTCTTCTATATATATAGTATATTTGTCGCATATAGTGCAAGAATTTGTTTCCTGTTCGCTAGGGTTTGGGCAGATTTGGGGTTCTAGTTTTCAGGTGCTCCGTTTGCTTCGGATTTGGGGCATATACAGGCATTCTGGTGGAAACCGAAGACTTCCAACAATAAGAATCGAGAATTATGTCGACAGCTGGAAAATACCGCCGAGAATCTGAAATCCGAAGTCTCAAGACGAAAGTGCCGACACTAAGGCCTGATAAGCCTAAAGTTTGTGTCACACTGTCCGTTTGAAGGGTTCTGACGACGTGAAGTTGAAACTATGTCGCATTTAGCGGGGTTTGGGCGTTTGGGGGGCTTGAGGCGGTTCAAGGCTAGGGGCTTTGAGCTGTGTCCAAAGTTTCGGAAGCACCCGAAGCCGAAACCAAAGTGCCCCAAAAAACCTGAGCCCAAACCCTTCTGATCTCTTTCCATCCTTCGACGTTCGGACCCACGGCTGCGACTTCGGCGCTTCGGGCCGTGGCAGTGCGAAGCAACGGTTGGGCTGGAAGGTTTTGTGGAGTTTACGGCTGAGGGCTCTGGGCTGTGGGTTTGCTGCTTCCTGCACTCACGACAGCACCGGCACTCGATCACGTATGTACAATTCGCACGGCCAGCCAAGGAAGCCAAGCACTCCTGGATCAGGGCTCTCGGTTGCACCAGAAAACCACACTTACACCGACCCTAAACCCTAAACCTAAACCCTTACACCCTAAACCCTAACTTCGAAGCCAAACCCCAGCAGGGCCGGCCTTTTGTCAGCAGGAATGATCAGGAAAGCCTTGCCGCGGTTTGAGTTGTCTTTGCAAGTCCGTAAAACCCTAAACCCCTTCAAAAACCTAAACCCAAAACCCTGCACCCTTAACCCTAAAACCCTAAACCCAAAGTCCTAGAGACGAAGCCGCCCAAACACCAAAAGCTTCAGAAAATTAAGCGTCTTGCTGCCAAAAAAGCTCGACTCAGGAAAACAAAGATCCTATCAAGAAAGCTGCTGGGTTGCATATACTTCACTAAACTGGCTCGGGCGAGGGAACGGTTTCGGCCAGCTTCCTCGAGAGGGTTCGGGATTAGAGCGAGGGCCAGGATTGTAGGGGCATTGGGTTTAAGAGTTTAGGTTTAGGCAAATCAAGCTGAAGCTGCCAGGGTGCTGCGGCGATTTCAAACCAGAAGCCAGGGTCTGAATGTGCTTATGCGAGGCTGCAACGAAAAAAAGAGTTCACAGGTCGTCATCCGCCTTAATGGCATCCATCATCTCAAGCTTTTCGTACACGGAGTAAGCCCAAGTACGACGATGCACGGACCTGCAGATACGAGCGATGTGGCCATTCAAGGATTCATCGATGTATGTGGAGTACATCCTTGGATTCCCTTTCCGGACCGCCCGTTGAAGCATGTGATACATCATATGGCTCTTGGGCATAAGATGCATTTCAGCTTTTTCGCAAAGGCAGATGAATTCATCGTACGTCTGGAAAAGCAGGCCGCAAACTGTCTCGTCGATCGCCCTCGGATGAGAAGCCATCACTGCATCGAAGTGCAGTGCCGCCTGGCCGGCTTGCAAGAGCAAAGCGAAGGTGTCGGCCTGCTCCGTCGCTGCGAGAACACATTTGTGCATCTTAAGCCTGTCAACCAAAAAGCCCAGAAGCCCATGAGTTTCGGCAGCTTTTGCCTTCACATATTTGCCGGCCACCATTGTCAGTGTCAAGTTCCAGACCTGACGGGATGATCGATAAGCAATTCCGGCGGGGTTGATGTCTTATATACACAAACTCATGATGTGCCGAACCTCGGAACCCTTCCTTTTCCAGCTGCCGTCATCGTCAAACTGGCGGAGGCGTTTGTAGTACGACCACAACTCGGCACGAAGACAAAGCAGAGCAAGCCTGTCGGCCTCCTCCTTCTCCAAATCCGGAATCGCAGGTCTGTAGATCATCGTCGTGAGGAGAAGCCGCAGGCCATATGCGATGAAGGTGGACATTGGTCCGTAATGCCAGGTGTGCAGGATGTCCACACACCACGTGTCCACCGAAACTCCTGGGATCTGCAAGAACGGCGATTGGTGAAGAACTCGCCCATCCTTTCCGCCAATGTAAAAAACACATGAGAAGGGGCAGGATTGCTTCGCGAAGTTGCCGACATCTGGCAAGCTTGAGCTCGGCTCGAGCCGCCAGCCCTGCCTCAGCCTGAGGAGTGGGAAAGAGGCCTTCAAGCATCTGCCACGGCCGGTCTTGCGGCGGTAGACGAGCAAGCTTTCGATCTTCATTTTCGTCTCCTCGTCCGGCACAACTATCTCCTAGGATCTGGGATTACTGTCAGCAAAGGCTATTTGGTTTCCCGGCTTATGGGTTCGTCTCACTCTCAAACAACAAATGACCGGCGGGTGGCCCGAAAGCTCGCAGCGACGAGCTCCTTGTAGGACGTCTCGTCGAAGAGCTTGTGCGGGCAAGTGTGCAATGTCATTGTCCCGACAGCCAAAAGGTCCTTCTTCTGCACGGTGCAAATTGGACATGGGTGCAAGTTGTGCGACCAGGTGCGAAAACCGCAGATCTCGATGTATGCTGGCCAGTCAGCTTTGTAGTCCAGGATGCAAACACGAAGGTCCTTGTGGTCGAAGCACATATCTCGCCGAAAGCTTTCTAGCAGCGGAAAAACCGAGCACCAGCCCCTGCAGCCACATGAGCAAAGCTCCGACAGTCCTGGCTCTTGGAGGGGTTAGGCTTTTGGGTTATTGAGGTTTTAAAAGGAACCCGATTCTTATAAGCGGCTACATTCAGATCAGCAGAGGGACTGAGCAGCCACACGACTTGTTGCTTGCGAGTGCGAAGATTGGTCATGTAAAAGCCGAGGAAATTTTCGTTCTTCGAGTATTGCACCCCATCAAAATAAACAGACACGGGCACGACGTGCTCCCGGCGGAAACCTTCAGCGAAAGCCTTCTGAGCAACAGGATGGCCCTCGTACAGACCCAAGTATTCCCTGTCGGCATCCAGGTGTGCTGTCACAAACTCTGTATCAGCATTAGCACCTTCACCTAAAAGCCGCAAGCTTAAAAGCTCTCTGCGAAGCATATCCGAAGCAACCCTTGTAGGATGCTGAACTGAAACTCTCCCGATTGACTTCTTGCAAACCATAGGGACGGCAACATACTCCACATAGGGCTTCTCGTAGTGCTTGCCCAGGTGGTACCTTACTTCTAGGCGTTTGTTATTTCTCCCCCCAACCCCCTTCGACCCCAAGCCCGAAATATCCCAGCGTAGGCCCTCCACTATAATTTATTATAGCATAAGAACAAACCAAAACCACTGCCAATCTGAGATGGGGAACCGAAGATGCCCTGCTCCATGCTTGGTCGCGATTTCCGGGTCCAGCCCCAGATCTTCAGCTCCCCGGCCGCCAGATTCGGTGTGAAGGTATGCGAGGGTGCACGTGTCAGCAGCGGTCATAGATCCGGACGAGTACTTTTCAAGCAAGAACTTTCGAAACTTCTGTCCATTCACGGCCAACGATTCAGTATCTTCTGCATGAGCTTCCGGGTCAACCGTGAAGGCACCGCCAGCAAGCTCCAGCGTGCGAGCTCTTTTGAAACTCATGGGCGGATGCGAGGGATTCAGGACTTCAGGTTATTGTGGGGCTTGCGGGGCTCAGGTCGAGTGTTTCCGAAAGCGGGGTTTGAAGTTTGGGCGGCCTGAAACTTTTCGCTTCGGACCCAGGGCTTTGGAATTCACACCACATATGCAAGCGAGGCTGCAACTGCCATCAAGATCGATGCATCGGCTGCACTGCGTGGTGGTCGCACAGCAATTGAGGTTTGGGTCTTCAGCAGAATTCGGGCTTGGGGTTTTGGGTTACTTAGCTTGAGGCTTGCAGTTCGGGCTTTAGGTTATTCTAAGCTCCAGGCTTGAAGTTCGGCGCTTCGGGCCTCACGTTGTTTATTCAAGGCTGAGGCTTAGTGTTCGGGTCTGGGTTGTAGATAAGTCCAGACTTAGAGTTCGGGCTTTGGGGTTTTAGGTCGTTTAGGGCTCAGGCCTACACGTCTAGGTTGTTCAGGGCTGAGGATGAAAGGTTTTAAGTTCAGGGTTTCGGGATAAATTTCTGGGCTTGGGACTCGTCTAAGCTTTGGCTCACCGAACTGTGGGCTTGGCAATCGTCTTAAGCTTTGGCTCACCCAACACAAGTAGCGATTTCATCCGACCCATCGTGTCCGGCCAGCAGCATGCGTCGGCTGCTGGTTGCCTAACTCAGCCGCCCCGATACAAGGCCGAGCATGCCCCTATAGATGCCGTGCAACCAGCATGGTTCGATCTCGGGATCCTGGTTAAGGGTTTATAGAGGTTTAGGTTGAGGCTGAGGGTATATCTATATATAGACGGCACTACAGCCATAGCAAAGGACTCCTGGAAAGGGTAACCATGCTGGCTCACGGCAACACCCAAGCTGAGGATCTACAGCGATGCCTGGGATGCCGAGCGTTTGGGCTTCTTCTGAGCTTTCACCGAAGGCGGGATCATAGCATTGGCGTGAGCATCTGCCATCTGTCGAATCTTCGTCGTGCACTCATACATGCCCTGGATCTTAGGGCCGAGTTGACAGCACCATTCACAAAGCTTCGAGTGGTAGTCGATGCCATAGGTTTTGCGGAGGCGGCTGGTTTCTTTTGTTGACAAAGCCGCCACCTTGGCCTCTTTGAAAAACTCGTTGTCTGCATACAACTGCACAATCTCTGTCCTCAGGAGTTTGTACGTATGCACAAAATCCTTTGCCCAGCTCCAAGCAGCCGGGTCTTTGGACATGTCGGCAGTCACTGCAGTCATAGAGTTATCGGACTGGGCCTCCATAGCCAAATACTCCTTGAGTTCCCGCTCCTTCTTGGCTGTCCCACTCGCCTGAGCAGATTTCTTAGCTTTCTTAGCGGGGTTCTTCTCCTCGTCAACATCATCTGGCGGCAGACCGCCATTTGGCGCCGAGCCCATAGGATCATCACCACCTTCACCTGCAGCAGACTTAGCCTTGCCTTTGGCCTTCGCCTTTGCCTTTGCTTTCGAAGCCGGAGGCATTGGTGCTGCGGATGGAGCGGGGGCAGCAGCTGGATGCGGCAGCTTGGCATTGCAAGTGCCGTCTCCACGGCCCGGCTGGGGCTTGGCATTCGGCAGGGTCTCGTAGAGCTTGGCAAGCCCTTTGAGCCCCAGCTCGTGTTGCTCCAGCATGTCCTTCGTAATGTCCTTAATCGCTACATCCTTCTCGCACGAGAAGGCCCGAACCGCCTTGCAGTAGTCCAGTGTCTCGCTCCAGGACGAAGCCACATTGTCGGTCGCCTGGATGGTGACCCGGTTGATCCATTCAGTCTGGCTTGAGGTAGCAACCAAAGACTCCACCCAGAGGTAGGTGTCGGCCTTGAGCCAGGAGTTCCAGCTGTAGCAGTACTCCTCAGGGTGCAAGGCAGGCTTAGGGTTCAGGGTTTCGGGTTCAGGGTTTAGGGTTTAGGGTTCCAGGGTCTCGGAAGGGTTTAAGATCCGAAGGATTTAAGATTTGGGTTTAGGGTTATAGATAGGGTTTTGCCATTCTAGAGAATGAGTCTTTGGAAGGGGTTGGGGAGCTACTATTATCCAGCCTTCAGGTCCGATCGGAGGCACATGCTGATATAGCTCTTGGCCTGCATCCTGGCCTCCTCTTTGTCGCTTCCACCCAATATCATCTCCAGTTGAAGCTGGGTTTTAAAGGTGCCCAGTTCCTCCTTGCGTTTGCGATACGAAGACACTGTGCTTCGTTCAGAGTGGATGAACTGCCAGTCGCGACTGGCTGCCCAGGCCTGTCTGAATCTGACCTTCTCCGAGTCCAGCAAGGTCTGGTACATCTCCTTAATGTCAGGATGGTGCTTGATAGCACGGCCCATGGCCTGAGCAGTTGGCCCTCTTGCAGAAAGATTGAGGTCCTTCGTAGCCCAATGCACAGCACCATTGGAATCCGCATTCACCATCTCAGGCGTGACATTCTCCAGCAGCAGCCCAAAGTGGGTGGCGTAAGCCTTTCTGGCCGATAGCATCGCCTCTTCAGTCAGCTGGGGGCCAGCTGGTGTCGCGGATGCACTAGAGGATTGGGCTTCCTGCGACTTCGTGGATGGGCCGTTCAGGGCTTCCTCTTGCGACTTCGTGGATGGGTCGTTCAGGGCTTCCTCCTGTGACTTCGTGCCGTCGAGGGGTTCCTTCTCCGATTTCGTGGATCCAGCATTAAGGGCTTCAAGAGCTGCTGAGTTCGCCACGGTCTTATCCACTGCACTCGCTTCCGAAGGGCTCTTGGGGTTCGATCGAGGCGGTGTCGTAGGGTCCACTTGGGTGGCAGCAAAAGCACTCAAATCCTTTGTTGCAGCATGTGCGAGGATCATGGCTTCGGCAGCCCCATCGGCAGCACCTTGGCTCCAATCGGAGCCCTGTGTTTCCACGGTATCCTGCAGAGACATTTGTAGTCTCGATCCTACAGCAAATATTCGCAGCACAAGTGCCTGGACAAGTGCTAGCTGTCGTCTCGAGAGATGCATGTGATCGAGCAGCACGATTTGGATCTAGATCGATCTACCATTAGGATTTTAGGGCACTGGGATAAATTAATATTATATAATATAATATATATATATATATATATATATTTGATATACATGATATTAATTTATCCCAGTGCCCTAAAATCCTAATTAAAGCTAGGGCAGGATCTAGATCCTCTCGTGTATCTAAATCCCTGGGTTCTACTGCTTAATCACCTCGATCGCGAGAGTGAGTTTCTAGTTTCTAGATTGACACACATGCAGGAATTAAGGATCCAGATCCTCATGCGTATCTAAATTAGGTTCGACGGTGCAAGTTTCTAATTTCTAGATTGACACAATATGCAACAAACATGAAAGGATCTATATGCATAGATTCTACTTCTAGATCGACAGCAACAACGAGGAAGGATCTAGACTCTCATGCGTATCTAGATTGAAAGGTGCTAGCATGGGTTAGCTGTGTTGATGCTAGTTTCTAGTTTCTAGAATGACACGATCCAACGAAGAGGAAGGATCTAGACTCTTATGCGTATCTAGATTGAGAGGTGCTAGCATGGGTTAAGCTGTACGATGCTAGTTTCTAGTTTTTAGAATGACACTATAGCAACAAGCAGGAAGGATCTAGACTCTAATGCGTATCTAGATTGACAGGTGTACTGCGATCATATAGCAGCAAAAGCCCTGCACATGCGAGGTTCTAGTCTTTAGAATGACAGAACCGCAACACCGATCAGGTTCCACAATACAAGCATGTATCCAACTAGAAGCAAAATCGCACAAATTGAGGGCTCCAGGGGACTCATCGGGGGACTCATCGGGGATCCACTTCGGCTCATCAAGATCTGTGGCTCTCTACGATCGACGATCTACATGAGCTATATCATTAGAGGACTCATCGGGGATCCAGTTCGACTCATTAAGATCTGTGGCTCTCTATGATCCACGATGATCTAGGATGGACTCATCGGGGGGCTCATTGGGTCGATTCTTGGGATGTACAGTACGATAGGGCTTGCAAACTATAGCGGTTCGATCATTTTGCACGACGATGATCGTCGGATACCGATCGAGGATGCAAAGCGGATCTGGATTGCAATTTGGATCCTCGCCGATTCTCGTGGCCCGGCCTACATGATTTGGAACCCTCTATATCTAGATCCTCCCATATATAGGTCCCGTGAACTAGAACCTCTAATCCAGGTAATTAAACCTAGCATATGTAATCAATATCCTCGAGACTGGTGCACACCTCGAGATTGTAGTCCATCTACTTATATACACTTATAATACACATATCGAGAGAGAGAGAGAGAGAGAGAGAGAGAGAGAGAGAGAGAGAGAGAGAGAGAGAGAGAGAGAGAGAGAGAGAGAGAGAGAGAGAGAGAGAGAGAGAGAGAGAGAGAGAGAGAGAGAGAGAGAAAGCTCGAGAGGGAAATATAGACACAGATATAGATACATATGTGTGTGCGTGATTGGGTACTGCCCCGATACAGTAACAGTCTATATACATATATATAATAGGGAGACTACTATATGGGCCTAATACATCTATTCTATAAATAATATCCAGCTGTTACTGTGTGGGGGCAGTACCCAATGGATAGATATGTAGATATCTCTCTCTCTATATATGTATATATATATATATATAGATATTACAGGTATATAGATATATATGGATAAGTAGATACATAGATATAGGTGTATATATATATATATATATGGATATAAAGATACATGGATATAGAGATATTGGTATATATATATATACATATTTGTACCCCGATATCTTAGCTTGCAGAACCTGAAACCCGTAAACTCCAAGTCGCTGGCCTGCATTCACAAAAACCTGTCCTAGACTGTATCCTTGAACTTAGAGAAAACCTCACCCTAAAACCTCCTACTATATGTAGATCTCCAGGGTCCTCGTCCCTACATGCACAGGAGAACCATATGTGTGTGTATATATGTTTATACACAAGTGCACCATGTGTGCATCACGTATATACATGTATATATCAAGACCTAGTGGACCTGTGATACGGTGTGGGA